ATACACATTCCTACCAACAGTGTGTAAGGATTCCTTTGTCTCCACATCCTCACCAGCATTTGTCATCTTTAGTATTTTTATAACAGCCATTCTAATAACTGTGAGATGGTATCCCTTTTGGTGGATTTTGAACATTTCACCACAAAGAAATGATAAATATTTGAAGTGATAGATATTTCAATTACCCTGATCTGACCATTATACAATGTACACATGTAGCAAAAGATCACATTGTACCATGTAAATTTGTACAATTAAGTGTCAATTAAAAATTTTTAAAGGGAAAAAATAGTTGTGGGCTAGAAGAGGAAAGAACAATGAAAGCAGAGAGAAGTGAACAAAGTCAAAATATTTTAAGAAATGTAAGTGTGAGATTTTGGAGACCAAAGAGATTGTGGCTTTAAAAGGAATCAAAAGGTTAAAAGATGACTTCCTGGTTTCTGAGCAACTGGACAAGCAATGACACCTTTTACTAGGATTGGGAATACTAGAGGTTCAGCAGACTTTGAGGAAACAAGGTTCAATTTGGGGATATGATTAGTTGGCGGTATCTAAGAAACCTCCATGAAGAAATGACCAGTAAATAGGCTATTGGAAAGATACCAGCGTGAGTAGACACACACACACTGAATTTGAAGCTTGCCTAGGCAGAAAGTGCACAGTGAGAGAAGGACCGTAATTGCCTCTTAGATGAAGATGAAAAACTGGTAAAGGAAAGGGAGACAGAAATTACCTGGGGGCACCTGGAGAAGATAAGATTGAGAAGATTAGCAGATTGAAAGGGAATAGAGTGATAGTACAAAAACTTTCTAAATTCCATAGGGGTGCTCCTGCTGGAAAACAAAGCCACTGACTTTCCTTTACTACACCCAGTTCTGTAGTCATTTTTATCATATAAAGATATGCTAAGTGAGAAATGCAGGTGATGGCCTAATGTCTATACAATGCAGTCCCAACAAGAGCAGCAAAGTGACTATTTGCTGATGCTCACTGTGCTCTGCTTTAAAAGCCCAAGCACACTTGCCTGATGATCACTAAGACACTGGTATGTGGTTACCTTGCTGTTCTCAGAAAACTCTAATCACAGAAGGTTCAAAACCAGCCGATGCTGAGGTCTAATGTGATTGCATGCCAAAGAACTGACATGTGATCTGATTTTGCAACCTCAGGGCCAAAGAAATTGGATTCAGCCCAGAATTTGTTGGATTATTTCAGATTTTTAGGGGTTTTTCTCCCCTTTTTGATGAACATGTCAGCCTAATCAAAAACCTCAAACTTCACAATATTTTTTAAGAAGCAATAAACCAAATAAAAGTGCTTTGACTATTGAAATAACATGCACTCAGACCTCTTGTCAGCCCACAGGCAGAGCCTTCTGTACTGACAGAATTTTCTTCCCTGAAAACTGTTTTGTAAGTAATGGTGCCACCTAGTGGTCTCTGGGTGAATCACCACTCTTAATAGCTAAGAGCTTTGGGTAGACACATTTTAGGTTTGTGTGGGATTTAGTGCATTAAGAGGACTTTAAGTGACACTAGAAATAGAGATTTAATTACCTTTTACAAATGATTTTTCCACAAGTAGAGGTCTTGACACCATTGTGTGACAAACAATAGGCTGTTGAAAGCAGCTCAGAGTCAAGTTGAAAATGATGTCCAAAGGTACAGTGTTTGCCTATGTCCAAACTCATCCAATTGCACACATTACCTAGGTGTAGTTCTTTGTATCCATTGTACCTCAATAAAGCTGTTTAAGAATAAATAAAAGTAAGAAAATGATGACAAAAAATAAAGTACTTCCTTTGTAAAGTTTCAGTACATTTGTAACAAATACAAACCTCCATAGGTACTGTCTGGGAAAAGTTAGTAAAAATAGAGTGAGTGATGTGATCTGTCTCAAGGAGGAGCAGCTGTTTGACCAGAGGGCTTCTGAAATTATAAACTCAAGTAACCATGAATGTGTGCGGTGGAAACCTAGGTGACATTTTCATTCACATCAGGAGTTTGACTCATAATCTAAACCAAAGCTGCTGCTTCATGTACTTTAAATGTTTGTGTTTTCACAAAAGTAAAAAGAAATCCATCTATTGAGTATTTGGTATTTGCCCGAAGACTGACTCAAGCACTTTCCAAGCACTGTGATGTAATCTACCAAACTCTCTGAGATGGTGTCACTGATACTTGTCCCACTGTCATTGTCACAAAATGGACAGAAGCCTGGGGACATTAACGAATGTTGAGCCCATACAGGCTGAGTATGGGGCCTTACTCTCAGGTTATAATGCTTTGCTGTAGTGCGGAAAGGTGTGTGGAAGCAAACAGATATCAAAACTTCAGTGGGGAAGACATTTGTTCACAGAATAAAGTCAGTTTGTTTTCTAGCTGAGTTGAGTGGCACGAGAAAAATGTTCTCAATTTTGTCACAGTGACATTTGTCTCCTGTTATGTGAGAAACTACTTTTAAAGTATAAGGAATTTTGTCTTTAATCTGTTCGATGCCTATTGACTACCTAAATTTGCACACACTTTTGCCAGTTAGGCTGCCTCAGTATCTCAGTGACATTTTGTTCTCAATATCTTGAGAGAGCATCCTTCTTGTTACTGCTCTGTATTTCAGTATTAGGGACTACATTCGTCCTGTTCACTTTCACTAAGGTATCTGTGCATCCATTCTGAGGAGACTGCTTGCCCAAACATACATCTGAAGATAATTTGAGCATGCCCATGGATCATACAGGAAAGACATGTCATGCACACCATGCAATTCATGCTTCTTAGACTTGAAGGTACACCCAAGCCACTTGAGCTTCTTGTTAAAAGGCAGAACCTGAAATTCTGCCCTTTAAACCAGCTCTCAGGTGAGGCTGATGATGCCAGTTAATATAGCATGTTTTGAGGTCCAAACTACAAAAGTACCCAGTTTTTAATGAGTCTGGAGAGAAAATCTGGTTTGATTCCAAAGTCAAGGGAAAAATAACCTTCTCATTAATTTACTTACTCTCCCTGAGTTTTTGTGTTAGGTTTGGTATAAATTAAGTTACATGTTTTTTGTTTCTAAACAAAGGAATCTTTAACAGCTATTTTAAAAATAAATTGTTTCCATTTGGTCTTAAACCTATTGATAGAAACATTTTATTTTTCTTTTTGGCAAAGTTTTTGAAATTCATACCTCTCCAGTAGATGATATCATGGAGTGTCTGACTTGAAACTTTAGAGTCATCTGGCTATCCTACCTCATCTTGAGGCAGGAAGGTATTGACTCCTTTCATTAGTATAAATTAAATACAGAACTATAGACATTTAAGAGACTAAAATCAGATTTTAGGATTGGTCTGGAATTAACTTCTAGACCTAGTGGCCCTATTTTAATAAAAACCAATGTAAGAATTTCCTTAATTTCTTCTGAGCTCTCTCTCAGGTCCATTTTCCCTACAATGTCATGGTTCTTGTCAGCATTCTTGCTATAACAAGGGGTAGCAGCATCTGGATCTTTCTGCCCATCATGGGATAGCTGTCTTTACTCTGGAGCTTCCTGCTGTGCTGTCATAGACTTTCTCACATCAGCATTGCTATCCGAGGCTTGCACTGCCTCATTCTGCCTTCCCATCTTTGATCATCTCTGGAGTTATTCTGAGTAAACATCTCAACATCTGTTTCATAGAGAATTTCCCAATACACCCTTATTTCAAATATTTGGAGCACCATAATATGGAAGAACATTTAGAATTGTTTCCTGTAGTGATAACGGGTTGCAGTAGAACCAAATGACTCTAGTAAGAGAAGTGGCTTTCGTGTATACACAAGGTAGAACTTCCAGATAATGGCAGGGCTGCCTCCAGATTAAGTTCCTGTCACTATCGTCATGTAGGCCAACTGGAGAACTCACTTATGAAGGTTGTGTTGCCACACCTTGTACATATAAAGCACCAAGGACACTGAACATCCATAATGCTAACTGGCCAACAAGATCAGAATGCTCAGGAAATCAAACAAGATGAAGTCCCTGCTCTATCAGGGGTTCAATGATCTGCTGTGATAGTTCAATGTTTGTTCACTCCCAAAGCAGCTCAGTGATACTCTAGACAAGACTAGCCATTGTCCACACAATTTTGTAATCAAAGAACCCCTAACAAATGAGTTAAGGCTGTTGACTGATTGTCTCTGTGAACTACTTGATGAATCAAAACCAAACTTTACATATGCTTATGTTAATCTGTAAAACAAGGTTCAACATCTGAGAATTCATATGACTCTTTCCACCAGCACATGGTTCTCAGGTTTGATAACTTGCAAGTATTGCCAGAAAGATGCTCTTCCTTAAAGCTGTTGTCTCTCTTCTTTCATCCTGACACAGGCACACCAAGAAGGGAGATACATACTGCCCCCTTTCAAAATTTTCACAATGCTCAGATTATATAAATAATCATATAGCTCAAATAGTAAAATAAAGAGGTGGGAAAGTTAGGTAGGAAAACCTGTAGCACCATCAGCAAAAGTTGCTCTAAATAAGGAGACATCCATTAGATGTGCAAATATTTACAGAGCACTTCCCACGGGCTCAGTGTTCCTAACGTGATGGAGCTCATATGTAAATGTTATTGAAAGACTTAACCAACCCTTCACTGAGAGAAGCAACCAAGGTCACAATCACCCACAGTGATCCTAAAGGTAGCATCTAGGAGCCTCTAAACTATCATTTTCTTCTTTCCCCACCCTCAAATCTCTGTTGTAGCATCCCTGACATTTTTAGGCTACATTTTCAAGAAATACTTTATTATACGAAAAGTGTTCTGAAGCAAATTCATAAAGTTTGAAGACAATTTTTTTCTTATGAGCTAGCTCAGCAATATTTGGGGGCTTTTAAAACTGATGATACAGCTGACCTACTGGAGACAAAGGCAGTGGGAGGGCCCTCATTTGTATAAATAAATAGAAGTCTCTAGTGCTGTGAACCCACAGCTTGGACTCAGAGCTGAAGTCTGAACTCCACCTCCAGGCAGAATGAGGCTCAGCGTGCCAGCTTCCCTGTTCATACTGCTGGTCTGCAGCCTTCCTCCAGTCCACGGTGAGAACTTTCATTTATGCTTCCACTGCCCTTTGAACAGAAATGATCTGCAGCTATTTTTTAAAATTAAAAATTGGGAGAAAGTCTGACTAAAGAGGGAAAATTGCTCAGTTGCTTCTAGATTTCTAAAAGTAACTCTTAGAAACTGGAAACTTTTAAGATTTTTATTTATAGGAGAGACTAGAAACCCAATGTTCATGTGATTTATGTTTGGTTTATATATTTCTGGCCTTTTTCAGTTCAGCTCCTGCTAAAATAATTCTTTACATGCATTTCTTGTTTGTTCTGCCTCTCAATGCTATCCCCTCTCACCAAACCTTCTCTAAGGTCTAGTTGTTATCAATGTCAACTGGAATCCTGCATCACACATTCCCAGTACAATTTCATATGGTTAGACCTGATGTTGTAAGTAGACCAGGGATGAGGTACACACATTCTGAAAAGAAGCAGGCTTGCAAGGCTAAGTGGGGCAGCTGTCTTTGTGTAAATAAATACCTGCTTGAAGCGGTAAGTTTCTTGGCAGCTGAAGGAATGGATGCATGTGCAGAAGTAAACAGTGGTTTATGGGGCAAAGTTTTATTCTTTTAAAATGAAGAGTGATTTCCCCCCCACCCACTTTAGTTTTGTTTCGAATGTCATTTTCACTCTTCAAAACCCTCATTTATCTCCTTTTCAATGAAGCTTTCCCATTTACTCCTGGCGAAGTTAGCTGTTGGAAGTCCTCTGTTCCCAGGATGCAGTAGCAGCTCAGGAATGCCATCTTCTCAGGCATTTTGGTTTTGCTCATTTGTTCACCCACTAAACTGTGAACACCTTGAGTGTTGGGCCCTTTATTTATAAATACATGCCAAGTATGTTGGTAGATACTGTTGATAAATAGAATTTGATAAAGCTTTTAAAAAATAAAAGTAAGTCTTCATTAAAATTCATAAGATAAGTTACTTATAAAAATATCTAGTACTAGTAACTTTTATGGTTGAGTGAAAATAGTCTTGAAATTTTTTACTGGCTTTTGTTTGGTAATGGTTTGCATCTGAGATGGAGAATAAACATATTAAACAAATACAAAAATGTTTTTTGTGCATTTTTTTCAAAGAGACAGGAAAGGTGGGGAGAATATAAGAGAACTCTCTTACAGCCTGTTTCTGCTTCTGCAACTCCATAATCACATCATTCGTGTCCTCTATTTTTATGTGTTGGGAGTTGATTTTATATCACATCAACTCTAACTGAGTTGCTTGTCCCTAAAGTGGCAGTTCTCAGATTTGATTGTATGAACAATCACCTGAGTACCAATTGAATGCTACCACAAATTTCAGTAAGTGTTGTGTTTTTAAAAAGCTAATTTTATTTTTCAGGCTTTGGTAGAAAATGCTTAAATACTCAAGCCAAGACAAACATAAATACATAACATAAAGGCATCTGTGGATAGAAGCATTGGCTTGACAATTTTAAATCTTCAAATGCACAGTAGGAAAGATTGGTAACTAAGTTCTAGCTATAAATTATGTGCCAAAGGGATTAAAATAGCTGATTCTGTGTTTACAGGTGTTCTGGAGGCCTACAACACAAACTTGAAGTGTAGATGTATCCAAGAGACCTCAGACTTTATCCCTCTATCCCTCATTGAGTGGATTCAAGTTATACGCCCTGGGAATGGTTGTCCAAACAAGGAAATCATGTAAGTTGAAAAAAATATATATATGTATATATATATATATGTATATATGCAATATATATATGCATATATATATATATATATATATATATACTTCTTCCAATGAAAATCAGATCAAATGTTAGTATATAGTATGGAATCAAGAATCTCAAAGAGATTTATTTGAATGTTGCTAAAAATCTTGAAACTAATAACAAGAATTTGTGATATTCAAGTACTTTTCAGTAGCTCTGAACTAATTACTTTGCAAGCACTCACTCATTTCACTCCTTCAACTACCCCATTAAGTAACCATTACTCCTCTATAGATGCAGACAGAGAATGAGGCCTAGAGCAGTTAACTCATGGCCTGAGGCACACCATGAGACAGGAATGGAGCCAGTGCTCCCACCATACCTTCCCTGTTCCAAAGCCTCTTCTTTACAACACCTTGAAGTATGCAGTAGGCATAGCATCTTTTTTTAAGGGCATCCCAGACTCTTTCATTCGTCGTTCTTCCCATGATCTTTTCTCTTTTCTTTTAGTGCTGGGGATGGAACCCAGGGACTCCGACGTACTAGGCAAGCATACTGAGCCACACCCTAGCTCTACATCTTTAGGTTTTACAGTGTTTAAAAGCGGCTACTTTTTCTTCATTCCATCTTGATACCAGTGCTTTGTGCTTTGGAGCAGTTGTATCCAACTTGTAAAACAGAAATATAGGATATCAAAAGCACATATGGAAATTTCTCATTGACATAAGCATTATACTTTCAGTAATGTCTGCACCAATGAAAGTTCTAACACAACCACAATGGTTGCCCTCAAAGTCAGAGATGTGAAGTCCACACATGGTGTATTTGGGAGCTGCTTCTCCAGCTATCTAGAAAAGTAGGCCTTCTTTCTTTTGACTGTATTTCCTCTGACATGAGTCAAGTCTCTCACCTTTCAACCAAGGGAAATAATGCACCCAATTTTTCTCTGCTTTAATATCAATCATTTTGAAAAATCAAGATATTTAACATCCATCATTTTGAAATAACAAAAGTTTGACTGCATTTATTTTTGTCAAATTCTGCATTTCTGAGTTTTAACTAGATACAGAATAGCTACAAATTATTATGAGAAATTCATACCAGTCAAGGATGAAAATACCAGATTGTACTGGGGGCCAGTGACTCACACCTGTAATCCTAGCTACTCAGGAGGCAGAGATCAGGAGGCTTGCAGTTTGAAGCCAGCCCAGGCAAATAGTTCACAAGAGCCTATCTTGAAAATTGCCCAACACAAAAAAGGGCTGGCAGAGTGACTCAAGTGGTAGATAGAGTACCTGCCTAGCAAGTGTGAGGCCCTGAGTTCAAACCCCAGCACTGTAAAAAAAAAAAAAAAGATTGCTAGAAATTTGTTTTTCCATCATGAATTCAAAAACCAAACTGGAAGAGGCTGCCAGAACCTACCTGTTCTGTGACTTCTGACTTCTCTAAGATTTATCTACAAAGATACAGTTTCAAAATCAGAGGGCTGGAATCTGTTGTTTGTCCACTTATACCTAAGAGAACTGGCACATTAAGAAATTGTGTTTTATTTGGTCACAGCTGTAGAATGTAGAGTCTCCCAGTTTTCTGTCTTCTGAGAGATCTTGATTTTTCCAGTGCAGTTAAAGTCCCTAACATCACATCTGGCACATGGTACCCATTTGATCATGCTGCTGGAATGCAGTGGCTACATGTGTGAGTTCTGGAGTCCAGTGAGCTTCTTTTAATCTTGCCCTGTCATGTACTTGTTCAGTCTTGAACAAGGTATTTGAACCCTCTCAGCCTCAAGTTCATCAGAAGATGAGGAAGTAATAGTTCCTCTCACATAGGATTTTTGTGAGATGAATTGACATAATCCATGTTACCCACTGAGTATGGTGTGTGGCCTGTTAAGAATACAATATGTGATCAACATTAGCCATTAACCATCATTGCTGCTTTTGTGTTTGCTTTATTTCTTAGAGCAGAGAAAACCTTGCTAACTAATGGCTCACCAAAATATCACTCAGATCAATCAGCTTTGCAACCTCTTCCATGTAAAATCTCATTGGCTTTTTTTTTTCAGGTTAAAGGTCCTCAAGAGAGTGTTGTCTATAGTCTATCTTGTTCATCTAAGCTTCAGTGACTAAATCATCTTAAAGATGCTGTGATATAAATTTAGAAGTAACTTAACTTTGGAGTCAGCTTCTCCAACTCAAGTAAAGGTTACCAACAAAACACTAACCTCTGACATGAGAGATTCTGTCAATGCTGGATTGGGCTACAACAGCTCTCACATATCCATCCATCTTATTCTTCATGCCACAAACCACCTATTCCAGCCTTAAAACTGCCGCACTCCAATTTCACTTCATCTAGAAATAATTATTTTTCACACCCAACTCTTTCCTAGGGGGTGGGGCTGGAATTTGAAGCTTTGAGTTTGCATAGCAGGCTTCTACCACTTGAGTCATACCCCCAATCCCCAACTCTTTTCATCATAAAAAATAGTACAGGATTAACTAAAATGTAACACTTTCTTTTTATTTCTGCTTATTTTTCCCAGAATCTGGACAAAGAAGAAGTTCCCTATATGCTTGAATCCTCAAACAAAATGGGTACAAAAAGTAATACAACTTTTACAGAGGTAAGTCAGGCATACTAAGAGTTTTCCAATGTTGAAGGATTCCCTTTCCTAGAGAGTCAAAGTGGGAAGCATTAAAATTTTTAAGAAGCTTCTAAGACAAATGTCTGCATTTTTCTATTACCTCATGAGATAGAGTAGGGCTGACTCATTCCAACAGTTCAGTTAAATAAACTGGAAGCCAGTATGCATAATATTCCTTATTTGATGTCTCCAGTGGAAAGCCGTAGTCTCTTGTGGGTGCTCCTCTAAGCCTGACTTTTGGTTTTGTTTTTATTTCACAGAAGATACATACTTTCAACTCCACCAGCTCCAGTGTATAAGAGAAAGACTTCCTGATGCCAATATTCTTTCTATGAATACCGGCGCCACTACCCCTTATCCCTGCTCTGGATTTTAGTTTTGTTCTTGATTGACTCTTTTCTAAGGAAGATACCTTCCCTATACAAACAAGCTTGAGACCCTATATAAAAATAACCTTGCAGAAGTTGATGGGGCAAACTCAAGCTCCTTCATATAGAACCCTACCTACTTGGAGTGTTCAGTTCAATGAGAAAGAGGGTTTTTGAGGATAGCAACTTAGCCACAAACCACATAGAATTCTCTTGCTAATATACCTGTTGTTTAGTGCTAAACTATCTTAGAAGATGTGGGAAAGAGAACTTAAATCTCAAATCTGAGTATGTAACTTGTGTTAAGAAGAAAATTATGGAGTGTGTCTCAATCTTTGTACACACTAAGTAAAGGAGACTGGAAAAGCTGCCTGGGAAACAGTTGGAGCTCCAGCCTGACAAGATGCAGAAAGCGCCACTTAGATGAAACACTTTCAAAAAGAGTGGAGTCCTTCTTCTACTTTTAAAGAGTCCCTTTTTAAGATTTATTGTTTCAGATTAGAAGCAGTAACATTGAAAAATCTTCAGAATTAAAATTCTAGAATATATGAGAAAAGGATTTGGAGGGTGATGCACAGATGTACTCTTTTTACACAGTGACCTTCATGAACTTTTAAAAATTCACCAACCTTTGGTATCAAATTCTTTAATGCTTCCTATTAATCTAATGTCATTCAATAAACTTGAGCAAACATTCTACTTAATTATGAGCAATTCATTCTTAGCAGAACATTAACTCAAATTGAGACACTCTTCATAACAAAAAGTAAGGTTTTGCCATGTTAGTCGTTTCTTTGCATGTCACAGCCCTTTACAGATGATCTAAATTAATGTCAACAAAGTTATTCAGTGGGAAACACTTGGCTATGAGAGCCTCTTTTCCCTGACATAACAATCGTGATTTCCTCCAGACCTTAAACTCTTACTCAAACCTCTTCTCACTGTCTCATTACATTGATTCTTCCGATGTTTTACTTGTCAAAGTTTTGCATTGAGTTTGACAAGCCAAAGACGATGTTTAATCTTGTTTCCTTCCCACCACTGTGCTGAGCTCATGGCCTTTTGGAGCCTCCCAGACCTCCGCAGCTGCTTTTGGAGCTCAGCAAGCTCAGACTCTAAGCTCTCCCTGGCTTCCTCTTTCGGTTTTCTCCATTTAACTTGTGATTTATTTTGATTAAATAAATCTCTAGGGAAGGAATAAAAAGTAACTATAAATTTTAGACAACTTAATTTAACAATTTAACATTTTTTTATTTCAAATACAAAGAGATAATAAAGTGTCATCAAAATGCCACAATCTAGTCTTTTTCAGACTTCAGTATTTAGAGATCAGGAATCATTGTCATTCTTTAATTTGATTTTGGTTGTCTTGGAGAAGATAGCTAGGCAAATATTGAGGAGCCTCAAATAAGAAATACTTCTATTTCCTATGAGGCCGCTATTGTCATCACCCTCACTTAATTACTGGAGAAGCTCAGACACAGTGTAGTGAACACACACTGGTTCAAGGCCACACAGTGACCAAATGACCAGCTCAAATTAGAAGCCCAGGAATGTGGTACCAGGATCCATGCTTCTTACCACTACACTGTGCTGACTCTATAGGAGGCAGATATCCTCAGTAGAAACTTAGGCAAACAGGCATTTACTTACCCTAATTCATGTAATTCATAAGAGACAAACTAGAATTAGAACCCAGGACCATCCAACTCCTAAGCAAGTGCTTTTCATCATTACACTACACTGCCTGAAGTTTTCTTTCTCTAAAGGTATCTCTTACTGCAGCATCTTTGCCTACCTTCAGAGCCCAAACCAAGGGATATTGCACAGTAGGGTGACTAATAGTTCATGATAATGAACTGTGTGTTTTCCGAAAACTAGAAGAAAGGAGTTTGAATGTTTTCACAAGGAAATGATGATAATGTTTCAGGAGATAGATGTGCTCACCCAGACTTGAATCTTACATAATGTGTACATGCATCAAAACACCATGTGGTCCCCATAAATAGGTGCAACTTTATCTGTCTTTCTCTAAAGGGAAAAGTGCAGACAAGAGAAGGGTGGGAGCCCTGTCTCCACCTTCAAGGGAGGATGGTTAAGACATCTGTTGCGTGTAGGACAGTCCACCGGGATCCGAGCGAGGCTGGAGGTTGTGGGTAAATGTGGAAATGGAAGCAAAACCAGGACACTGAGGGTCTCTAAACTGTTTTCCTCACCATACCAGCACCCATTCCTCAAAAGTCACAGTAGGTTTGAGGGAAGTCAGCTGATTTGGAATGGGGAGCTTAAGCCATGATTAGATGTAGAATAACTTTTTGAACCAGTTAATGGAAGGTCGAGGAAAGGTCTGGAAGGGAAGAACTATGAGAAGAAAGGCAGAATTTAGGTAATCATAACTACCTGATAAACAAATTATCAAATAATTAATGAAAGCTTGAAGCAAATAGAATTGAAGAGAAAATACAAGATAATACTGATCTGCTGACTGAACAGATTGGTTGGCTCTGGGATACTGAAGAAGCCACAAGAGCAAGATGCATAAGGACCTCGTAGGAGCAGAATGCAGGAAATGGAAACAGAGTTGAGCCTCAGTTGTGCCGCTCACAGCCATCCTACAAGCAAGGGCCCCAGTAGGAAAAGATTCTGCTGCCTTACCTTGGAATGACTTGTCCAATTATGTGGGTTCGATCTCTTGCCTTCTTTACTCCATTGCCTTCTTTCAACAGGCTTCCCTCCTACTGACATGCGTGACATCACTGCTCCCAACTCTGGGAGGGCTGGTTGCTCTGGGGTAAAGTCTGGTGGTACTGAGGAACAAAATTACTGTAATACACCATAAAAGGGACTCAGTGGAACTGAAGAGGAGCCCGCAAAGGCAGAAGGGTGGTATTTGAAGGAGAACTCTACCTTTCTGTGACTCGCAAAAGAAAGGTCTCTCCATGTACACTCCTCTTAAGAGAACCACCTGCAGTCCTTGGAAACTGGTGAAAATTTATTCTCAGGACCTTCCCCAGACCAATTGAATCAGAGACTCAGAGATGGAGTTCAGCAATCTGTGTCTAACAAACCACGGTATAATAAAATAAGTATATAAGCCAGTGCAGTGACTCGTTTCTATAATCTGAACTACTGAGGAGGTGGAGATTGGGAGGATTGTAGTTCAAGACCAGCCCAGACAAAGTTAGTGAGGCCTCATCTTAATCAACAAATCGGGTGTGGTGGTGCATATCTGTATCCTAGCTATTTAGGACATATAGGTAGGAGGATCATGATCCAAGGCCAGCCTTAGGCAAAAACTGAAGACCCTACCTGAAAAAAAAAACTAGAGTAAAAAGGGGATGGAGGCATGGTTCAAGTGTTAGAGCACATGCCTACAAAGTTCAAGGCCCTAAGTTCAAATGCCAGTACCACCAATCAATCAATCATCAATCAATCAATCAATATTTGAGCTTTGTCCTTGGGTCCTGGCCCAGGGCTACTAAAACACTTGGAATTTCCCATGGTAGAAGTGTACTGTTATTCATAACAAGCCTCTTTCTACCATGCCTCAGAGGATATGAATGAGATGATTGGCATGCCCCTCAATAGCTTCAGGATCAGAAGTGGTAGGCAGAAGAACCATCCCTGTTCTTAGAGGGCTAGAACTTTCAGCACCTCCATCCCTGAAACCTCTAGACAAAGGAGCCAGGCTAGAAATGAGTTAGTCACCAATGGCCAATAATTTAATCAATTTGGCCAAAACCAATGTAAAAACCTGAAAGCAATGGAGTTCAGAAAGCCTCAGACCAGTGAAGACACTGGGGTCCTAGGAGGGTGGGGTGCCTAGAAAGGACATGGAAGTTCTGTGCTCCTCTTTTCCTTCTTTGCCCTATGCATCTCTTCAATTCAGTTGTTCCTGGGTTGTTTTCTTTACAATAAACCAACAATAGTAAGTGCAAGGGTTAATTTTGTCAGCTTGATTGGATTGAGAAATGCCTTGGAGATTAGTAAAGCACACTCTGGGTGTATCTGTGAGGGCATTTCCAGAGATCATTATGTCATCTGGCTCTGACCTAATAGATTAATCCCTTGCTGGAGTCATAATGAGATGGCACTGTGAGAGGTGGTAAAAAGTAGGAGGGAGGGCGTAGGGGAGGAAGTAGGGGAGAGGGGACATGTCCTTCAGATATATCTTGTCCTGGTCCTTTTCTGTATTCTCTCCCTCTGCTTCCTGTCTGCCATAAAGTAAATGGCCTCGTCTGCACATACTCCCACAGCAAAGATGTTCTACCCAAGTGCCTGGGGCCAAGCAACCAGTGACTGAACCCACTGAAACCAGGATCTAAAAATCAGTCTATCCTCCTTTAAGTTGTTCTCTCAGGTATTTTGGTAACAGCTGTGCAAGAGCAACTAATAGAGTCAAAGCACTTTTCTGAGTTCTGTAAGTCATTCCAGCAAATTATCAACCCTGAGGTAGTATGGGAACCCCTGAACTGAGAGCTGGGCAGAAATGTGGATAACCTAAGCCACCCCATTTACATCTGACATCAAAACTGTGAACAATCTTGTGAGGCGGAGCATTTTAACCTGTGGAGTCTGTGCTAACTATAGATAGTGTCAGATTTGAACCATTGGATACCCAGGTGATGTCAAAGAACCAGAGGTGGAGAATTGGTTGGTGTGACTGAACACCTAAGAAATATTCTTTCACAAACCATCCAGCTGATCGTGATGGTGATAAAGTTACAAAAGCATTGTTCATCCCGTATAAAACATTAGAGCCATCTGGGGAGGTTGATTCTTTTTTTCCTTATATAAGGGTAATTAAGTTGTAGTTTATGTACAGTAAAAATCACACTCTTTAAGGGTTTGATTTAGTAAGTTGATTGAAACAGTCCAGCCACTGTTCTGTTCCTACAGTTTTGCCTTTTCCAGGATGCCATATAAGTGGAACCATACAATATACAGCCTTTTGTCTTGCTTACTTTTACTTTGTATAATGGTTTTGAGATTCATCATGTTGGTGAATGTGTCCCAGTTTATTCCTTATTACTATTATGCCATTGTATGGATTTACCACTTGCTCCAGTTAATAGATGTTTAGTTGTTTCCAGTTCAGGGATACAATGAATAAAACTAACATTTAATACAAGTTTTTTGCGAACATATGTTTCCATTTCTCTGTGATAAGGGAGAGACACTCTGTGATAAGTACCTACAAGTGGGATTCTTGTGTCATATGGTAGATGTACATTTATAAGAAGCTGTTAAACTGTTTTCCAAGAGATGTGTCATTTTGCATTCCCATCAGTTGCTTCTTATCTTTGCCAGCACTTGGTACTGATGGTCTTCTAAATTTTAGATACCTTAATATTTTCATCTTTTATAGTCTTAATTTGCTTCTCCATAATAGTTTCTGTTGTTGAGCACTTTTTTGTATGCATATTTGAGATCTACCTATATACAGAAGAAATCTACCTCATATTAAATTCTTTTTCCATTGAGTTACATCAGCAAAGTTGTCAAAAAGCAATTGACCATATATGAATGGGTCTATTTCTGGACTGTAATTCTAATAACAAATGATTAATGTAAGTTTTAAAATTCTGTATCAGGAATCTTCAGTCTTTCTACTTTTTCAAAAAAATTTTTGGTTCTTCTAAGTCCTTTGCTTTTCCATCTAAATTTTAGAATCATCTTGTCTATTTCTGCCTGCCCCCCCCAAAAAAAGAATTTTCTTGAGGTTGTGCTAAATCTATGGATGGATTTGGACAGAATTGACATCTTAATATTATTGAGTCTCCCAGTTCATGAACATGGTATATTTCTCTATATGAGCCTTCTCTAATTTCTCTTAGCAATGTTTTATATAGGTGTACACACTCAGATCTTGCAGTATCCCCAAACCAAACTACGAAGTGTAGCTTTTGAAGGTTTTGAACTATGAAGGTATATTCATTTATAGGAGCAAGACAAACAACTTGTGGGAGGCAGGAGGGAGAAACTCATATGGACAGAGTCAGTATTACTGGGTCAGAGAATTTATTTCACCTCTAGAGTAACTGAAAGATCGCATGTAAAGGACATGGGTACAGAGAAGGGTGAAGAATTGGATAGTCTAATAAAGAAGCCACAATTGCCAAATATAGTGACCTGTGTTTAGTGCTCGTCTAATGGAACTCAATAGTCTTTTTCAGGAAAGGAAGGCTATCCCACAGTTGAAGTTTCTCCCCTTGGCACTCAATGATACACATCTCCTGGATTTCCTTCTGCCTTTCGGGTCTCCTCACACTTACTTTCAGGCTCTCATCTCTCTCTCTGACCTCTAAATATTAGAGGTCAAGTTTTCTTGATTATTCTTCCAACACTATTTTCTTCTCAAGAAACATCATCCAAGACCATATCTTTCATTATCATATCCCCATACCTTTTTACATTCAGTTAACCTGTGAGCCCCATTCTATTCCATCCAAATGACTGCTATATCTCCACTTTGGATTGTACAAAATTACTTCAAAATCAATGTCAAGGACCAAAATTCATGACCTAATTTCAATCTGGTCCAATTCCAGCATTTCCTATATCAGCGAAAGCTCTGCAACTTATCTAACTATGAAAGATGGAAAACTAAGACTCATTTTCTTCTTTATTCATTTATTCATATGTGCACACATTGTTTGGGCCATTTCTCCCTCCTGTCTCCCACCCCTCCCTCTCATTTTTAAATTTCTTTTCTATCACCACCAGGTCCATATCTAATCCTGGTGATCCTTCCATGGTGTATATTTGATGTTATAGTAAGCTCACATGTTATGTCCTCAGGAAAGCTTTCTGTGATTTTCAGCCTAGATCAGATCTTCTGATGTGCTCTCATGTAACACTTTCTTTGCCTTGAGAGCTTTCATCTCAGTCACTAATAATACAGTTGCTAGTGTGGCCATCTACCTACCATCTGTCTCCCCATTAAGCTATTAACTCCATGTGTCTAATTTTGCTCACCCTTATAATCTTAGCATCAATTATGATGGAGTTCAAATATTTATTGAATAGATAAGTGAATAAATTAATGAATACCTTCAACTGTCTCTGTTATTATTTAAAATACTTCTTATTTGTGAACTTTTCATGGGTTTGTCCTATTTTCCTAACTGGATTGCAAACCTATCAGAGATAGTCAGGCTTTTATTTCTTTGCTCCCACACAGAGTCCCAGGTGTTCAGTTAGCAACTCCTGTACAAAATGAAAAAATCTCATACATCATGTAATTTGGTTGAACTATTTAGGAAACAATTTTTTTTACTCTATTACCGAGAACACATGATTAAGAGGCAGCAGGGCCTAACCATCTGTTTATAACCACCATTGTTCAGCTGAGCATGCTGGAAAGTTTGAATTAATAATTGTCATTAAAATGTAATTATATAATATTGAGATCTCCAAGTTAAATTCCCCTAAAATTATGCCCTGATAATAGAACATGAGGCTGTATTACTGGAAAAGGTGAAATGAGTATGAATCAATTCTCATCACAAGATGACTAACATTTATTAAATTCTTAAATTCTAGATCATTTAAGCTTCCAATAGGAAACAGAAAGCATGTTCATCTGGGACTTTGAAGAAAATAAAGTGAAGTAACTATTTCAGAGGCACAGACAGGTTAATGGACCAAGCAAGAATATCGAGGAACCCACTCTCAGGCCTGCAGGAGAAGGGGGAGGGAATGGTGTTATGGAAGGCCTGCAGGAGAAGGGGGAGGGAATGGTGTTATGGAAGGCTGTTTGAAAGCTGGTCTGCCTGACAACCACAGTCACTGAAGGAGCTACCACAACTAGAAGTGACTGTGAACAGAGAATGAAGA